AGACAGAGTCTCACTGTATTGCCTGGGCTAGAGTGCTGTGGCGTCATCCTAGCTCACAGCAACCTCAAACTCCTGGGCTCAAGCAATCCTTCTGCCTCAGCCTCCCGAGTAGCTGGGACTACAGGCATGCACCACCTTGCCCGGCTAATTTTCTCTATATATTTTTAGCTGTCCAATTAATTTCTTTCTATTTTTGGTAGAGACGGGGTCTCGTTCTTGCTCAGACAGGTTTCGAACTCCTGAGCTCAAACAATCCGCCCACCTCGGCCTCCCAGAGAGCTAGGATTACAGGTGTGAGCCACTGCACCCGGCCTCAGATATACCACTTTTAATGCATCAGAGTGTTAACAACTAAAAAGTCTGATAAATCAAATATGAATGAGAATTTGAGAAAGGGACACTTTCATACACTCCTATGGCAATGTAAAGTAGTATAACCAATTTGGGGGGCAATTTGGCAGTATTTATTAAAACTTAAGTCTATATATCCTATGACCCAGAGAGTCCATTTATGTAGATTTAGCCTGCCCGATTACTGGCATATGTATATAAGAAGGCTTGTAAAACAGGTTCAATTATAACCCTGAAAATAATAAGATGTTAGATCCAGGCATTTGGTGAATTGAAAAAAAAAAGAAAAAGAATATAATAAGAAGTTGGAAATAAACTAAATGTTTATTAACTGGAGAATAACTAAACTGTGATAGTGTTTCCCAAATGAGGGACAGACAACACTAAAGGTACAAGAGACCATTTTAACTGGTATACTGACAAGGACTCCCTCCTTGACCAAACTACAGTCAGACTCCTTTCAGCACTCTTCTGACCAGGGCTCTTCCTTGGCCTGCTAACCCCAATTTTAAAAAAGAATCCTGCTAAGCCAGTTTATAAAAAATCCTCCCCATTCTTGACATCCAATCAAGCTCCTTTTCCCCCACCCTTGATATCTAATCAAGTTCCTCGTCCCCGCAAGGAAGACTTTATTGAAGACTATTATAATAGAAATGAAGACTATTGCATTAAAGCAGAGAGACTGAAATCAACTCCAGATACAACAGGGACAAGTGGGAATATACAGAAAAGTACTGAGGGAAACTTGGTTAGGTCAAACGATCTGCACGCCTCGGCCTCCCAGAGTGCTAGGATTACAGGTGTGATCCACCACGCCCAGCCTATCAAAGAGAACTTTATCCTTATTTCCTGTTTTAATTTTCTACGGGAAGAATTCCTATATAATGTGCTATTAAACAACACATATAAAAAACTAGAACCTTCCCTGCCTGGATTTCCCCTTTAATACTCTTACGTAGTTGGCCTGACCCAGTTAAGATTCACAGAGATAAAGGCCCAACTGGCACCATTTTTTTGCCCATCCTTGCTGTCGCGGCATTCAGAATTCTTTCACCATCCCCACCACCACTCTACTCACTGCCCAGCTCATTCCCATGGTCCTATGACAAAATACTCACTGGTGGAAGGAGTGAGGATCATCCACATCGTGACCATCTGGGGCCAAAGGGTTGGAAAACGGCTCGCCTGACAAAAAGAATTGATATTAATTTAATCAGTCTCTTATGTGTTGGGTCCCGTGCAGAAATTGGGGATATGGCAGTGAACAATACAGAAGAAAAGCAAGAACTGCAACAGTGTCAATACGATATAATAACTGCTGAAATGGGAAAACACAAGGAGCTGTGAGAGCACAGAAAAGGGGTCCCTTAAATCTGAGCTGGAGGATCAGCAAAGAGTTCCTGAAGATTACATCTGAAATACTACGTGTAAGGTAAACGGGTGCAACCCAGAACTATGTATAAGGGGACAGGGGTCACGGAAAGGGATCCACACATAAAAGTCGCCGGTCGTCACTTGGGGCAGGAATGAGGCTTGGGGACAGTCTGGAGCTGTCTGGCCTCACTTGGGATCCCAGCGGCTTCGCCAGTTTCCAAGCGTCACGCACACACATACAGGGCTTAAGCTCAGAGGTTAAAATAACGCGCTAAGTGCCCCGAGTCCCTCAGGGAAGAAAAGGCGGATGACCCAAGCCTTACTATCTCGCTCCGGCATTTTGTCCGCGGTCTTTCAACGACACCGAGGATCGAGCTTCCAACAACACTTCACCGACAAGCCTTTTCCCACAGTGCACCTCAGCAATCAACCCACAGTGCTTTGCGTTCTGAGCCTTTCCGCTTCCTGCCTCTCCCCTTGGCCCTACCCTGAGCGAAGAGAAATTGGAAGACCTCGCACCCGCCCTACAATATTTTTATGTCATTGGCTGAACTTTGCCCCGCCCCCTGTGTCATCCAACCTATGGCTGAGGACGGAGGGTCCGCAATTGGTCCGACTGGAAAACGTCGCCGCAAGACTTGGGATTGGGGCCTCAGTGCTAGCAGAGATGGCGGCTGCCGCAGCTAGTCGGGGAATTGGGGCAAGGCTGGGCCTGCGTGAGATTCGCATCCACTTATGCCAGCGCTCACCCGGCAGCCAGGGCGTCAGGTGAGGCTCGGCGTGGTGAGGCGGGCGGGCTTCGGGACGCCGGGGTCACGACCTCGACCTCCCGGGTGTTTGGGGAAGCCCGCGCCCACAGCTCGCGCGGCGCTTTCTCCCCGGCCCCGCAGGGACTTCATAGAGAAACGCTATGTCGAGCTGAAGAAGGCGAACCCTGACCTGCCCATCCTAATCCGCGAATGCTCGGATGTGCAGCCCAAGCTTTGGGCCCGCTACGGTGAGCGCGGGACGCCGGGGATCTGGGACTCAGGTGGGGGAATGAGGGTTCGCAAAGAGCAGGAACTGCCCAAAGTCGTGCAGAAACCTGTGGACAAACTAGAACTCGGACTTCAGCCTTGCTATTGGCCTTGTTGCCAGGAAGAAACTTAGATTCGCACAGTTATGTGATGCTTTGTATCCCAGGCAGCATCATATGCAGGCTGACCAAGTCCTGCATAGGGACCAGGAGCTGATGTTTTTGTAGTTAAAAATGGGCTTCAGATAGAGAAGGGATGCCAGTCAATTCCCGTCAGTGTACGTCCTTCCAAATAGCACGTAGCCAGTGTCAGTCCAAGTAGTGTGTGAGAATCTCAATAATACTGAGAATTAATGCTAGGCCCTGCGCTGAGTGCTTTCCTGCCTAATTCCTATTTAATATTCATTAATCATATGAGGGAGTGGATTCTTTTTTTTCACTGTAGAAATCAGAAAACAGAATAAAAACTTTATGGACTATACCTAAAGTAATGCAGCTAGGATGTAACAGGATTGAGCCTTTACATTTGTTTCCCTTTCCTAGAATGCCCCTACCTCCCAGACTGCCATGGCTTGCTCCTTGTTATTATTCAGGTTATTATTCTTGTCAGAACTTACATGTTGCCGCCTCAAAAAGGCATTCCTTGACCAGTTATGTAACATTGCCTTTTGAGCCTTTATCATATTATCCTCTCCCTATTTATTACAATCTGAAAATTTCTTATCATGTCACCTAACACATTGTAGGTATACAATAAATATTTATACATTTGCTAGAATACCTTAGGGGAAAAAATTAATACATGCTGAATAACGGGATTTTAATTACAGTTTTTAACTGTACTGTACCCTAGGAATATCTGGGGTGGGGAAGTCACGCTTAAGGAAGATTGGTTCTAATAGTGGACATCTGTAGTATGCCACATGCTAATGGAGCAAAAGAGTTCTTCCAAAAGCCAGTAGACTACAAGGGGAGACGGACACAAGTAATTTCTGCTAGGTATTATGCTAGATGGCCTACAGAGCCCAGAGAATAGGCACCCAGCCAAGGGTAGGCCCACGCAATACACTATTCACAGTGGTTAAACATTCTACTAAGTGAGGTATCCCAGGAATGGAAAAACAAGCACCACATGTACTCACCATCAAATTGGTATTAGCTGATCAACATTTAAGTGCACATGTAAGAATAACATGTATTAGGCTGGGCGCGGTGGCTCACGCCTGTAATCCTAGCTCTCTGGGAGGCCGAGGCGGGCAGATTGTTTGAGCTCAGGAGTTTGAAACCAGCCTGAGCAAGAGCGAGACCCCCGTCTCTACTAAAATTAGAAAGAAATTAATTGGACAACTAAAAATATATATAGAAAAAATTAGCCGGGCATGGTGGCGCATGCCTGTAGTCCCAGCTACTCGGGAGGCTAAGGCAGGAGGATTGCTTGAGCCCAGGAGTTTGAGGTTGCTGTAAGCTAAGATGATGGCACGGCACTCTAGCCTGGGCAACACAGTGAGACTCTGTCTCAAAAAAAAAAAAAAAAGAATAACATGTATTAAATGTTGGGCGTGGGGAGGGCAGAGGACGGGACGGGCATATGCACAAACAATGAGTGTGCTGCATACCTCCGGGGGAATGGACACACTTGAAGCTCAGACTTGGGGGGGAGGGAGGGTAAGGGCATCATACGTAACCTAATCATCTGTGCCCCCATAATATGCTGAAATAAAAAAAATAAATGCCGACAGTGCCCCTTAAAGGCTCCCTGAAACACCTTACTTCTCATTGTGGGCACTCACAATCAACCTAAATTCTAGCTGGACCTGGGCTTCCAAGATGTGTTTGAGACCCACTGGATTAATTCTAGGCATTCCAAATACATTAAGATAAAAACAAAAACCTTTTATTATACCGTGGTAGCCTCCACAGTGCAGAATAAATACCAAGCCACCTCCCTTTCTCCTCAGCATTTGGCCAAGAGAAGAATGTCTCACTGAACAACTTCAGTGCTGATCAGGTAACCAGAACTGTGGAGAATGTGCTAAGTGGCAAAGCCTGAAGCCTGCACTGAGGATCAGAAGCAAGAGCTCCAGAGCCTGGGCTCTGCTAGACTCAGTACAATATGGAAAAATGTGTTCTGTTCCTTATAAAGCTTGTACTGTAAAATGCTGTCTCAGGGCGTGCTTGTCCTCATTCTACTCCTGACTCCTTACTGTGCAAACACTGAGGCAAGGCAGTTTAGTATAAAAATAAAACTTTATTCTTTTTAATCAAAAGCTACCCACTGCTAAAGCAAAAAAAGGTGGGGTGTGGGGTTCCAGGGCCCCAGAATAAGGAGGCCACACTAAGTCCATCTGGTCCTTCTGCCTGGACAGTGCTGGGTGAAAGTGGAGGACCTGGGGTCCAACAGTCCTGGCTTAGGTGTGGGAGTAGAGAACATGAGACCTCATTGTGGTCCTAAACCTCCAGAGGGCTCCACCTAAGAGAAAGTAGGCAAAGAAGCCAGAGGTGGGGAGCAAAATAAATTGAGAAGCCAGGTCACCCATGAAGAGCTGTCCAACAGAGAGCATGCACACGATCCTGGAGCTGGGCCTCCTCCTGATGCCTTTCCAGGGCCTTCAGCCCCGATTGCTGCAGGAAGGCCTGAATAGCCTGAGGGCAGGAAAGAAAGGGTTTAAAACCTGGATCCCTGGGTACTAAGACTTGATTCCCACAGTTTCATGAGTTAGCCCACTTTTTGGAAGAGGGTGCACTCCCAACAAGATGGTAAAGGTTCTAACCAGGAGCATATACAGGCTAGCCAGTCCCAGGGAAGCAACTATAATTAGGACTGGAAGGGAAGGGGCCATGGTGAGGCTTCAGAGCAGGGTGCCTGGGGACCAGGGCCAGAAACCTACTACCTCTGGCTGATAGAGGAACAGCAGATGCAGCAGCTCCAAACTCTGGCCTACTACTTCAGTGTCAGAGAAGGCCAGCGTGTTCAGCAAGGAAGGGAGCAGGGGCCCTGGCCATAGCTGCTGGCAGTAAGCAGGACCCTTCTCTGCAACATTGCACAGAACTGTGAGCACCTGCAGGTAGATACATATATAGTCTCCACAAAGGATGAAGGCCAAAGACGATAGCTAAAATATACAGAGTGCTGACCACATGCCGAGGCACGGTGCCAAGCTCTTTTATATGCACGTTCTATAATCCCCACAAATACCCTCTGCAGAATTATTATCCCAATTATATTAAGATGGTTAGTTGACTTGCACAAGGATAGTAACCAGTAATCCAGTTTAGGGACTCACACCTAGACTGGTATGGCCCTGAAGCCATGGCACACCACACTACCTGCCAGTTCTCAACTAAGTACTTTTAGGGGCTCAGGACTGCTCCGTATGTTTACACTCTGACCACCCGGTCTTGGACTCAAGTGAACCCAATACATACCATTACGCTCACCACATTAGATACTGGCAACAGCTGCAAGAGAGGCTCAATCAGATGCAGGGAGAGCAAGGAGGTACAGAAACTAGGACTGTTTGCTGAAAGAGAAGTAGCAGGGTGAAGTACCTTAAACTGGAGCCTGAACTGCTGCTACCCCCCAATCCCAGCCACCTCAGCCTAAGCCATGAGGAAATAACCCCAGAATCTAACCAGTGAGGTTGTTGAGGAGCCAGAGGCCCTCAGGAAGCAGGCTGGGCTGTTTCTGGAGGAAGAACTGCAGAAGGATAAATAAGGCTGCCATAACACGTTCATCTCTGAGCTGCATTTGCCCTCCCACAGTCTCCACTGCTGCCTCTGTTAGCAGGTTGCTTAGACACCGAAGCACAGGGCATGCCAGCTGCAAAGGCAAATTGGGGGGTCGGGTGTAAGGAATAAGAGGTTACCTGCACACCAGAGAAATGGCAGAATATGAAGAAACAATCTCCCAGACTTTGACCTGTGTTCTTCACCTACCAGCTCCAGTCCTGCATCCTCGGTTCTTTGGACAGCCCCAGCCAAGTCCAACAGCAGAAGCCCCAGAGTGGACAGAGCCCCATGTGTGATGAGCAGGGCATTATTGACCTGGCTGGGCAACAGGAAGCAAGTAGTCACTAGCCAGTCAATTCCATCTTTCAATTGAGAAACAGCCTAGGTCTGTGGGTCTTTTGGGCTCCAAAAAGAGGACCATGGAGGGATGAAGGCTCACTATAGCAATTCCAGAAACTGAAGTTCAAAGACTTGAGTGTCATGGAAGGGAGGAGCCCCACGGAAGATCTGTGGCACTTTCACAACTGGCCTGTGTTACCTGCAGGTGATGTAATGAAGGCACCAGGCAAACTCCACAGCGACCCCAGGGTTCAGCTTTGGGCCAGGTTGCAACAACTGCAGCATGTGCTGAGGGAGAGTAGAGCCCAGAATGGAGCTGCTGGCAGAAGCAGGGCTGTGAGTAGGAACCATGAAGATGCCAGTAGCTCTTCCCAAACCCTGGTAACAGGTGGGAAAATGCCCAACCCAAAGCCCTTCCTAGCCAGACACATGGAGTTAAAAAGTGCAACAGCCCTGGAAATCAGATAGCTAGGCATCTAGGGGCTATACTACTGAGTGGGTGACCTCTGATTGTACATCTGAAGACACAATTTTACTTACGGAATGATCTTCTCTGGAGCTTCCTTAGCCTGTAGAAGCTGAGACAAGGCATATCCAAGGGCTTCCAGCACAGCCACATGGGGGGACTAGAAGTAGACAGGTAAGGATCTGACTCTAGAAGCTGGGTCATAAGGTCTCCTGAGACTTCCGGCCCTTGGCACAGAGCAAAGGATGGAGCTACATAACCAAAGTAGGTGGAGCATGTGGAGAGGAGCAAGGGGAGGGTTCCCCAGGGAGGGAGACAGGAGGAACTCACCTGGATACAGGCAGCCAGGGCTGGAACGATGCCCTGTGGCAGGAGCTGCCTTCTCACAGCCTCACTCTCCACGATCAGGTTACCCAGTGTATACAGACACAGCTCCTGAGAGCAGGCAACAAAAGCACTGGGCTTGGCCCATCTTACATGAGGGAGGTGGGGAGGAGGGGAGTGGGGAAGATGGAGTGGCTCTGTCCTTGAGGCTTAGGGGAGAGTGGGGAGGTAACAGATGTATGCATGGATGGCTGTGGCCATGGGGGAAACAGGTTTTCTTCTTCCCCCCTACCTACCAGCTCAAACTAGACCCAAAGGCACAATTTTTTCAGGTAAACAAAGAACAAGGTAGGAGGAAACAGGGCTTACTATGAAGTCTGAGCTGTGACCGGAGAGGTAGGTGAGGAGGTAAGAAGTGGCTGGCAGGCAGGCCTCAGCCACCACAGACTGCTCAGCATGAGAGAGCTCATGCAGGCACCGAGCCGCCTCAAGCTGCAGCAGGGCTTGGTTGCTGGTCAGAAGCCCAACCAGGATCCGCATGCTGCCCTCCAGCCTATATGAATGAGCACCAAAGCCCTGCTTAGCCTGTGGTCCATCCCTCAGACCTCCAGCCACCCACTCACACCACCCACACTGACCGGATGAAGGTTTGCTGTGTCTCAGGGTGCTGCAAGCCTCGACGAAGGCTGACCAAAGCCCTCTCTCTCTCCTTTTCCTCTGTCCCCCTCTGGGCTAGCCTCAGGAACTGCTGGACCTGGAGCCCAGGGCAGAGGGAGAACACACAGTTGCCAGGGAGCAAGTCCTGAGTTTCTCTCTCCCCATTTCACCTGTGAACCCTCCAATATCACACCACCCTCAAAACTTGTCATTCATACTAATATGTCTAATAAGCACCAACCTTACAGTGGAGTAAAGAGAAGAATCAGAACTGAGTTCCAATATCAGCCCAGCCACTTACTCTACATGAGACCTGAACCTAAGTTTCCTCACTTGAAAAACGAGAATAACAGTATCGACCCTGTCTTCTTAAACAGTTATTTCAAAGACAGTATTTAAACCTCTCAGCCTGGCAAAACCTACCCCTCCAGCCATTCTCCCCATGCAATCTACACTCTAACACCTAGCATGAGTTGTTTTTTAAAACTTCCAAGCTTTTGCACATGCTATTCCTTCTGCCTGAGATATCCTCTCCAGCTTCCCACTCTCTTGAGATTTCTGCTTATCACTGCCTCCAGAAAGTTAGCTCTTTTTGGCTTCCTTTGGCAGACTCGGGAGTTTCTTGTGTGCTTCGTATTTCCTTCCATTATGACAGGTGGTAGCACATCTTTCTCCTTCACTGGGCTGTGAGCACTTCAAAGAAAGGGACTCTATCTTTTCATCTTTGTGTACCTCAGTGCCCAGCACAGTGTCCTGGCATAAAGCAAGCACACAATGAATAAATAGTATAACTTAGGCATAAGTGCTTCATAAATATATATGTAAATGTACATATACAATGTATATGTACAATACAAACACAAGGGATACCCAATGCTTGCTGAATTAATAAATCCTTTCATTCACTCATTTAATAAATACTGTGCACTTACTATATGCCAGATATTGTGCAGGCATCTAGGTTTTCAATGATGACAAATAAGACAGTGTCTAGGTTTTCCTGGGTTCAAAGGCTAGCTGGAGAGGAGTTGGAAGAAAGTGAGCTATGATCACTCCGCTGCACTCCAGCGTGGGCAATAGAGCAAGACCCTGTCTAAAAAAAAAAAACTCTAGTTGGAGAGATGATAATAAAAAAGAAAACAATTAGATAATGATTAATATTCTGCAGGAAACAAATAAGCTACCAAGACAGAATACCAATAGAAACATGCAAAGGCCCTGAGACAGGAAAAGAGCCTGATATTGTTCCAGGAACTGAAAAGAGGACAGCAGCTGAGATGAGTAAACTGGTAAGGTTGGAGTTAGGCAAAGGCTAGGCCATGACGGGTTCTGAAGGTCACAGGAAGGATTTTGGTCTCTATGTATTTTTAAGAGATGAATTGAGGGAAGCAAGTTTAGATGCGGGGTGACCTTTTTGGAGGCTGCTGCAGGGAACAGATGGTGGTAGCAGCTGCGATGGTGAGGCATGTAAAGACTCCAAAGCTCTTTAGGAGGTAAAATGGGCTACGACTTGAAGGACTGTTTGGAGATGTGGGACAAAGAGTTGCGGAGGATGAGTCCCCTGTTTCTGGCCTTACCCAGTGGCCTGACTCACTGAATGGATGTTTAAGTGCAGAGTGGACCGCGTTCAGGTTTCGGGTGGACCTCCAATACTCCCGGGAGTTTGGCGCCAGTGAGCGTGGACTGCAGCGCGCGCCCCGCCCTGCCCCTCACCTCGGCTTCCCCAAGGATCACAACCACACCACCCTCTCCGGCTTCCTCCGGGGCGTCGTCTCTCAACAGCCTCTTGCTGACCAGTTGCTGCTCCCTCCGCGCCTTCCGCAGTGCTGGGGGCAGAAGAGCAGGCTGAGCGTGGAAAGGGTGCCCAGGACCCAGAAACCGCTGCTCCGAGCCAGGGTGTTGAGGGAGAAGTGTCTCACCCTATCTCCGACCGCCGTACCCCTATCCTTCCGCGCTCCCTTGCCCGCCCACACCTGCCTCCCGCTCCCGCCGGCGGCGCCGTAGCTCCTCTGCACCGCAGACCACTGGCCTGAGGCGGCCCAGCCGTCGGCTCCACATGCTGGAGCTACAGGAAATTCTCAGGCAGCTCAGGGGCCGCAACAGCCCCACAGGGCTTACAAAATGGCACCGAGAGCGCAGCCGCAGCACAGGGCGGTACAAGGCGGCGCAGACGTGAGGGGGCGGGGCGGAGCGGAGCGCGGCGAAGCGCGGCGAGCGGACGGCACGGGGCGGAGTGAGAGTGGGCGGGGAAAGGGGCGGAGTGAAGGATAGAGGTGGGGCGGGACCAGGTCCGAGCGCGAAGCAAGGGTGGAGCACCTCGGCATGACGTCTGATTTCTCTTCCCAGTTGCAGGAAAGAAAGGAACTAGTTCCCGACCTCGACAGCCCTAGGCCAGCAGTATCACTATCCACTAAGCAGACACAACCTCCCCACCCACAACACACTTTAGATGAATGTTCAAAACAACCTGGACCTCTGAAAAGAACCGCGATGCCATTTCACCCATAACACCGCTCCCACTGATGACCCACCATTTACTTATTTTTTTTGTTTGTTTTCGAGACAGAGTCTCACTGTGTTACCGGGGCTAGAGTGCCGTGGCGTCAGCCTAGCTGACAGCAACCTCAAACTCCTGGGCTCAAGCAATCCTTCTGCCTCAGCCTCCGGAGTAGCTGGGACTACAGGCATGCGCCACCATGCCCGGCTAATTTTTTCTATATATTTTTAGTTGTCCGATTAATTTCTTTCTATTTTTAGTAGGGACGGGGGTCTCGCTCTTGCTCAGACTGGTTTTGAACTCCTGAACTCAAACAATCCGCCCGCCTCGGCCTCCCAGAGTGCCAGGATTACAGGCGTGAGCCACCGCGCCTGGCCCCATTTACTTCTTTATAACCCTTTCACAGCTGTCATTAAATTACAGTGTAATTGTTTAATGTCTCCTCCCACAACCCCTTCACAGTTCCAAGAGATTAGGGTCCTGGTAGCACTTAAAATTTTTTGTGGGAGGCCTCTAATTTTTAGAAAGCTGTTACTTAGGCAAAGGTACAAGTAAGGATGAATCCAGGAAAGAGAGTGTTCTTCAAACCAACATCCTTCCCTTGAATTTAATTCTAGAGTCAATCAGTGAAGTCTGTAATCTCTTCCACAAAACAGCCAGTTAAATATCTACAGACCATCATTCTGTCCTCCATGTCTTCTCTCCAGGCCCAGTATCCATCCAACCCCTGGACAGCTATTTATTGAGCACCTGTTACGTACTATGCTCTGGCTAGGAATAGGACCCCTTCCTCATGCAACAGCCCGGCTTCTTCTTTTTTTTTTTTTTTTTTTTTTTTGATATAGGACCTTGCTCTTTGCCCAGGCTAGAATGCAATGGCATCATCATAGCTCACTGCAACCTCAAACTCCTGGGCTCCAGCGATTCTCCTGCCTCAGCCTTCCAAGTACCTGGGTATATAGGCATGTGCCACCATCCCTGGATAATTTTTCTTTCTTTTCTTTCTTTTTTTTAGAGACAGAATCTGACTATGTTGCCCAGGCTGAACAGGCTGGCTTCTAAATCTTACTCCTGGTGGGGAAGATGAAACAAGTTTCTAGGCAAAATCTATGTTCTTCCCAGAGTGTGTGCTCAGACAGTTACAGCTACCCAAATTGCCTTTCTGCATCTACCTGCCTGGCAACACTGTTAACACTGTAAGAACCAGCCCCATGTCCTGTCTTCTACAGGGTTGTCTGTTCCTTTCTCCAGAGCCCCCACGAGCCCTTGGTTTCTCCTCTGCACTATGGCAGGAGTCCTCTGCTCTATGGGCTGTAGTTCTGGGTTCATATTTGCTTCCCCCACATACTGGAGCAGTTGAGGGACTATGTCTTGGTCATGTCTGCATCCCAGGGCTTTCCACCAACCCTAGAACTTGATAGACAAATGATAGGTATTTGATGAATCAAGGTGGAGTTAGGGATCTTTGCCCCTCTTCGCTTGGACCTCCCTACCCAGAGTGTCTCCCTTCAGTGATGAGGAGCTAGACCTCAGTGGCCTGAGTTCACTGAATGCAGAGACTCTCAGAGAGAGGAATAGCATCAAGGCTACCCTCAATGGATGTCGCTCTGTGCCAAGGACTTTACTCACAGACAGGTACTACTATTATCTCCATTTTACAAAGGGGAGCCCAGAAATCCAAGGCCCGGAAACTGCCCAAGTCTCACAACCTCAGTGGTAGAGCTTGGATGCCATGCCTGGCTGTCTGACTTTGGGTTAATGTATTTAACACTGAGCTATATTCACATCTTAGTCCTCAGGGATGTCACAATGACCTGGCATGGCACTGGGGCATGGCACAGGGTATCAGGGTATGTCCAACAGGACATGCAGAGGGCAGTGACGAGCCTCCTTGTTTGGGTTGGTAGCAGATGTGCAGCTACTTCTCCATTAAAGGGGAAGTGGGAATTTAAAAGATTTTCATGTAGTTCTTTCCCCAGATGTCTAGGGGTGTGGACCTTTGAGGGCTGTTGTAAATGCATAGTCCCTATCCTTACACTCTCGGACACTTGCTTTTTTTTTTTTCCTGGGCAAAATAGGTGAGTTACTAATTAATCCTCATTCAACAGAGGCCCATCCCTTCCTTCCTAGGACACAGGAATTGTTCTGAGGGGAGGGCAGGGGAGAGCAAGGTATAAGTGGGATAGTTGGTTCAAAATACCTTGCTTCCAGCCAGGTGCGGTGGCATACACATGTAATCCCAGGCTGAGGTGGGAGGAGCCCTTGAGCCCAGAGGTTCAAGACCAGCCTGGGCAACCTCTTCTCAAGAAAAAAGAGAAAAGAAAAACAAGAAATACCTTGCATCCCAATTTCAGGACAGAAAATGGATACTATAGGCGATCCAGTGACTTGACCAATATGTCTCTGTTAAACACCTCTACTTTTAAGAAAGTTATTACTTAAACTAAGAATAAGTAAGCAAAAAAAAAAAAAACGGGGGGGTGGGGAAGGGAAGTTTTTCTTCAGACCAACTTCCTTCTAAGTTGGTCTAACCTAATTCTTCTACCCTTGGAGCTAACAGATGAAGGTCACACTCTCTTCCACATCCGGTTAAATATCTGAGGATATTCAAGGGCTTGGATTTGGGTGGCAGGAGGTTAACAGTAACCAAGACAAGGAAGAAGTAGAAGAAACTAATCAGGCTGAGCTGGGGGAATGTTGGGGGTGGGGGTGAAGAGTACAGAACTGGCCTAAAGCACCGAGGATAATCCTTTCCCCATCACTACCAGACAAGCCTCCAGCACCTGAGTCATCAGGGCACTCACTCACTGCCGCCTGGGGCACTTGAGTCATCTGGACACTGCCTGGGACAGAGCGCCCTAGATGCCCCGCAGAATCCTTCCTGTTGCCACCCCTCTACCTGCAACATCCTTCATTGCAATATTTCCCAGAAAGGAAGTGAGGGGGGGCGGTTGGGAGGACACGAGGGAGGATGTAACCAGCGTTTGCAGAGAAGGAAACAGAATGACATTCCAGGATTGCATAAACTCTCAGAGGCCGCTGAAGAGTTCACCCGCGTGAAGCCTGGAAGTCGGCGGGCGCCGCTGTCTAGGAAAGAAGCCAAAGTCCTTCCCACAGCCTGTCGGGGCCTCTAAGGGCCCTGAGGGACTCGACGAGTATGGTGAGTGCACGGTCTTGGGGTCGAAGGACACCTCGGGGAAACCCAGGGACCGCGTGGGGCATCCCTGACCCCTGCTCTCTCCCCAGGAGCGCCCGCCCTGCCTGTTGCTGCTGCTACTGCCGCTGCTGCGTGTTTCTGCGGCCACGCCAGAGCCCTGTGAGGTGGACGATGAAGATGTCCGCTGCGCCTGCAACTTCTCGGGTTCTCAGCCCGACTGGTCTGAAGCCTTCCAGTGTATAGCTTCTGTCGAGGTGGAGATCCGCGGCGGCGGCCACAGCCTGGAGCCGTTTCTGAAGCGCGCCGAGGGCTACGCCGACCCGCGGCAGTTCGCGGACACCGTCAGGGCTCTGCGCGTGCGGCGGCTCTCGGTGGGGGCCGCTCGGGTTCCTGCCCGGCTGCTGATGGGCGTCCTGCGTGTGCTGGGCTACTCCCGCCTCAAGGAACTGACGCTGGAGGACCTAGAGGTAACCGGCACCACGCCGCCGCCGCCGTCCCTGGAAGCCACGGGGCCTGCGCTCTCCACCTTGCGCCTCCGCAACGTGTCTTGGGCGACAGGGGGGTCCTGGCTAGCCGAGCTGCAGCAGTGGCTCAAGCCAGGGCTCAAGGTACTGAACATTGCCGACGCGCACTCGCTAGCCTTTGCCTGCGAACAGGTCCGCACCTTCCCGGCCCTCACCACCCTAGACCTGTCTGACAATCCTGGACTGGGCGAACGCGGACTGACCGCGGCTCTCTGTCCGCACAAGTTCCCGGCCCTCCAAAATCTAGCGCTGCGCAACACAGGGATGCAGACGCCCAGAGCCGTGTGCGCTGCGCTGGCGGCGGCGGGTGTGCGGCCCCACCGCCTGGACCTCAGCCATAACTCGCTGAGCGCAACCGCAAATCCCGGCGCTGCCGAGTGCGTCTGGCCTAGCGCGCTAAACTCCCTCAACCTGTCGTTCGCTGGGCTAGAGCAGGTGCCTAAAGGACTGCCGGCCAAGCTCAGCGTGCTCGATCTCAGCTACAACAGGCTGAATAGGGCGCCGCGGCCGGAGGAGCTGCCCAAGGTGGATAACCTGACATTGGACGGGAATCCCTTCCTGGTCCCTGAAGCCTCTAAGCCCCAAGAGCACTCGAGTTCGAGCGTGGTCCCAGCCCGTGCGCCTTCGCCCCTATCAGTGGGGATGTCAGGAACCCTGGTGCTGCTCCTAGGGGTCCGGGCCTTTGTCTAAGACCCAAGGGAGAAGAATGAATGGCTCAGATTGCCCTGGCTTCAGGGGAGCTCCATCAGGACGTTCAGGACTTCTTGGTCAATCAACCCTTTGCCCCACCTTTATTAAAATCTTAAACAATGGGTCCACGTCATTTATTTAACAGATCTTTACTGGGTGTCTGCTGTGTCCTGGGCACAGTGCTGGATGGGGAATCCATCATGCTTAGACTTTCTTCATCCTAACTGTCTAGAAACCCCACCTGAAAAGAACTGTAGGGGCATAAAGGACAGGGAAAGGTCGCCTGGCTAGGGTTGTGTGGGAGAAATAATGAGTGTCTGTGCAGTCAGAGCTTTCTGACCAAATTACTGGCACCTAGGTTAAAGGATGTTTGAATGGTAAACAGAACTTGGAAGATACGGAATGTTTCCTCTCCCATGCACTTTCCAAGAGCCAGCTTCTGCCTTTCAAAAATAATATGACTCAAAGACATTTGATTTCTCTCTCTCTCATCTCTGTCTCTATCTCTCTCTCCCTCCCCTCACCCCCCACCAGGGAAAAGGGGCCAGTGGTGCTTCCTGTCCTACATAAGCTCTGTGTTTCATAATTTCAGAATTCTCTTGTGTTGTAAAAGCCCTCCGTAACCACAGGTACAGTGGCTTTCCCTGTGTCGCTCTCCTGTACAATGAAGGATTTGGGCTTGGGGAACTGATGCAAGACATAGTCTGTCTCTGAACCAGAGATCTTGTGTTCTGTTAGTACATATGTGGATAACCTGTTCCGGCTGACTCTGATTTGCAAATAGGATAGCATCTCAGACCCTTCACAACTTTAGAATCGACAGGATGTGCCCTCTAAATCATATTAACTCAGAGACCTAGGACATCAGCCATCGAGAGGTGCTGTTTCTTCTGAGTCACTTCTTCATTTAACAAAGAGGCAGCCACATCCATCAGGGAGCTAGATACCTGCCTCATCGGGGACATTAGAGAAGGGCCTTCAACTGGCCCACTGGGAGATTTCTAGTAGCAGAGAATTAATCACATCACAGCAGTTTCTTACATTTGAAAAGCTCTGATCACACATCAAATAGTTACAGAACCCCTATTTCACCTCACGCCCTGGGTGAAAGCCTGGTCTACAAAGATGAATCAGAAATATTGATGCCATTAGGGAATTCTCAATCCAGTAAGGGAGACAGATACATAAAAGATAGTTGTGATTCAGTAAAAGGAAGGAATCAACTCTATAAAGGGAGGTGGTCCTAGGAAGGCTTTGAAGAAGATGAAACCTTTAATCTGGATCTTGAGGCATGAATATCATTTCCTCAGGAAGGATGTCCCAGGCAAAAATGGACAGCACATTTAAAGGTGTAGAAACCTGAAAGTAGATGACCAAACCTGGGAATTATAACTGGCTTAGTAGAGCTGCAGGTCATGGTAATGGACACTGGACACATTCATTCATTCAAGTGTCTGTTGTGTGTCAGGCACTATGCTAGTCCTGGGAATAGAGCTGGAATAAAGCAGAAGTTTCTGTTCATATGGAGTTCAGATTTTACTTAGGTGGTAGGTGCTATTGACTGAATGTTTGTGTCCCCTCAAAATTCATATGTTGAAGCCCCGCCCCGCAGTATGGCAGTATTTGGAAATGGGGCCTCTAAGGAAGTAATTAAGGTTGAGTGAGGTCATAAGGGTAGGTCCCTGATCCAACAGAATTAGTGTCCTTATAAGAAGAGACACCAGAGAGCTCACATGTGCTCTCTCCCAATCCCAGGACCACAGAAAGGCCATGTGAGGACGCAGTGAGAAGGCAGCTATTTACAAGTCAGCAAGAGCCCTCACCAGAAGCTAATCACACTGGCACATTAACCGGGGACTTCTAGCCTCCAGAATTGCAAGAACATAAATTTCTGTTGTTTAAGTCACCCAGGCATGAGCCACCGCGCCCAGCCTAGAGCAGTGTTCTTGAGTAGCTAAAAGGGACTGGTACCTAGATCACAAGTGAAGGGGTTGGCCTTAGAGTAAGAACAAAAACAGTCAACTCATAGTCCCATGCTGGAAGGCAGCAGTATCTGGGTGAAGATGCTGGTGGGTAGATGCAGCAGCAGGAGTATGAAATTGAAGCTCTAACCACAGATCGTAAAATGGCAGCCATCCTCTCATTGTTTAGAATTCATCTCAAACATCACCCTGTCTGAAGAAGCCCCTCCTGCCATCATTTCTACCACAATATCCTGTGTTATTTTCTTCATAGCATTTACCTCTATCAGAAATTGTCTTCTTTATTTATATCTGTATTTATTATTGGGTTGAAAGTTCAATGAGACCAGAGAGTGTCACTCTTGTTCAGTTCTGAATCTCCAGCCCCTACAGCAGTATCTAGCACATGGCAGGTACTTCATAAATCTTTATTGATTTCATTGATTCAATGAGAGGGGTGGACTGAGGACTGGACTACGAGGAAAGTGAGAAAACAATGAATAGCATTTTACTTCACTAAGGTCAAATAAAAAGATTTGCTCAACTGAGTTTGAAGACCATAAACTATGTTTCACGGTTCCAGTCTCAAGGCCTGTGATTTTTTTTTTTCTGACAGTACCCAGAAGCCTGGGAACAGGATTCATTCATCCAAGGTCAGGTGTGGGGGTGCAGAGCAACCACAGCAAGGCCCAAAGATTGAGCAAGTTGAGCTAAACAAACAAGGCTAACTAATGTGCCATAAACAGAGGAAGTGTGGCAAGGAAGGAAAGATGTACTGAGAAAAGCAAGGGCTCCACTTCTACATGGCACTTTGTGGTCAGATATTTGGTGTGGTGTGACGGATTTTATGCTGAAAGGGTGGAATATTACAGTCATAGGACTTCCTTTTCTGATCCCAAATCGGGTTTCCTGTAACTTCCTCTTTTGTTCCTGTTCTGTCATCTGGAACCAAACAGATTTTAGTTCTTTTCTATACTAAGTCAATAGTTTTTGCTCTCAAAAAAAAAAAAAAAGCTTTTTCTCTCTCTTATCCCATCTTCTCTTTTCCAACACAAACCCCATGGCCACTTCTTGTAATGCTCAGAGCTCCTCCTACACCAGATCATGGGAGATTCTTTATAAGCCACTGAAAATCACATACAGTGGAAGAAATAGAACACTGACTTGAATTTTCAAGGCTGTTTAAAAATTGCTAGTTCTTTTTTGTTTTTTTTTTTTTTGTTTTTTTTTTTTGAGACAAAATCTCACTCTTTTGCCTGGGCTAGAGTGAGTGCCATGGCGTCAGCCTAGCTCCCAGCAACCTCAAACTCCTGGGCTCAAGCAATCCTTCTGCCTCAGCCTCTCGAGTAGCTGCCATCATGCCCGGCTAATTTTTTTCTATATATTTTTAGTTGTCCGATTAATTTCTTTCTATTTTTAGTAGAGACGGGGTCTCGCTCTTGCTCAGGCTGGTCTCGAACTCCCGAGCTCAAACAATCTGCCCGCCTCAGCCTCCCAGAGTGCTAGGATTACAGGCGTGAGCCACTGCGCCCAGCCTGCTAGTTCTTTTTTTTAGGTACGATATTATGTATGACAGACATGGTGTTGTGGTTATGTTTAAGAAAGAATAGTTGACAAAGACATAACAAGGAAAGAAAGCTACAAATAAATATCTCTTATGAATATGGACACAATAATCCTCAACAAAATACTAGCAAACAAATCTAGCAACATATAAAAAGAATTATATACCATGATCAATTGAGATTTATCCTAGGAGTGCAAGGTTGGTTTAACATCTGAAAATCAGGCTGGGTGTGGTAGCTCATGCCTTTAATTCCAGCCCAGGGCAGGAGAATCACTTGAGGCCAGGAGTTTGAGACCAGCCTGGGCAACACAGCCAGACCCTGTCTCTATAAAAAATAAAAAAATTAGCTGGGCATGGTGGCACATGCTTGTAGTCCCAGCTACTCTAGAGGCTGAGATGGGAGGATGGCTTGAGCCCAGGAGTTGGAAGCTGCAGTGAGCCATGCATGCCACTGCACTCCAGCCTGGGCAACATAGTGAGACCCTGTGTCTACAAAAAAAAGAAAATTTAAAACAAATCTGAAAATCAATGTAATACATCAGATGAATAGAATAAGAAATAAAAGTACGTGATCATCTAAATAGATGTAGAAGAAGAATTTGACAAAATTAAACAACATTCATGAAAAATCACTCAACGAAAGGAAAAGAAGGGAACTTCCTTGTATGATAAAAAACATCTGCAAAAAAATTAATTGGAATCATACTTAATAGTGAAAGACTGTATGTTGTTGCCCTATGATCAACAAGAAAACAAGGATGTATGTTCTCACCACCTCTATTCAACATTATACTAGAGGTTCTGACCATAAAAACCAGGCAAGAAAAGGAAATATATGACATCCAGATTGAAAAGTAGGAAGTAAAATTATCTAAATTCACAGATTATATGGTCATGTATATTAAAAATCCTAAGGATTCACTAAAATACATTAGAACCAGTTAACAAGTTCAGCTAGGTTGCAAGATACAAGACCAATATAGAAAAATCCATCGTATGTCAATACACTTAGAATGAACATTCTGAAAATTAAATTAAGAAAACAATTCCATTTACAATAGCAGCAAAAAGAATAAATACTTGGGAATATATATAACAAAAGAAGAGCAACTTACACTCCTAAACTACAAAATGTTGTTGAAAGGAATTAAAGATCTAAGTAAATGGAATAACATCCCATGCCCATGTATCTTAATATTGTAAGATGGCAATTCTCTCCTAATGCATCTATAGATTCAATGAAATTCCTTTTTTCTCCCCTGGTGCATATGAGCTATTTACTGCTTGCTTCTGCACCTGTTGCCCCTTGCCCTGGCCCCTTGCCCTGGCCCCTTGCCCTGGGATGGGGGCTTAGATCCAGGAGGGTGTGTGGTCCTGCCCAGGGGTGGTTCCCAAACAGATGGACAGACTGGACCTTCCCTCCCTCCCAATGCCAGGGAGGCTGCTGAACAGAACCACAAATTTTCCATAAGGGTCTATTATGCCTAGAGGAGAGAGGGAGCTCAGTCCTTGGCAGCTGCTTTCCTCATGGCCACAATGAGTTTGCTCAGCTCCTCTCACTTCCTGTTGGTGAGGATGTGTGTGCCCCCACTCTTT